ATATGCCTATAGGGAGGACATTTTCAACAATGAACTCATTTTGTGCCGAATAACTCCAGGGCTAGGGCATTTAAAGGAACAATAAGTCATCACAGTATCTATTGGTCACAAGTGAATATGATAAGTCCCCAGACAACCGTTGGGGGTAAAGAATACTCCTTCGGCTTCCTGACGCACAATCAATCACCTTTTCTTAAGTGAATGCTGCTCGAATAGTCCAAACGACGGATGTCCTCAGTTTGCTGTCTGGGACAAGCATCTGTCACAAATTCTACGAAAGTCGTGAAATGTAGTGTGAGCGGAAACCTGTCAAGCTCTGCGCCGTTCCATTGGGCAATGATTTAGCCAACGGAGTGTCATTAAAACTTGACGGACGATTGAGCTGTTGTTCCAGATGCATCTTTCCCAAAGTTCCTCATAAGTGAGTTTAAAATTCGACAGCAAAAGGGGAGCTCGCTAGAAGCCCCCCAACACTCGCTAGGCTGAACTGCGTTTCAGGTGTAAATGCAAAAACTTGGACGAAATATTAACGCGTTACTCTGTTCAGCTTGGCAGAGCCTCATTACGAACGCGTTGAACAAGGAAGTCGATCTTCCACTAAATGAGCAGATATTTACGCTATCCTACACGTTTGCACATAGACTTAGTCGCTACGTGACTGCATTCGAAGCCCTCAATCAAGGCCAAAGGCACAATGGGATGAGTAGGTCTTGTAGCGTGGTCGGTGAGCACCCTCCGGCGTATACATATGTACGGTATGTAATTACCGACAAAGACAGAGCAAACTGGAATGGCCATTTCTGACTTATTAGCCGTCGTCAGCCAGTCATACCCAACCCCGAAATGTGGAACACACGAGGCTCGAACTCGCGACCTGTTGGTTTAGAAGTCAACGCCTCTACGCACCGGGCCACGAGCCCGTTGCCCTGTCGGTTTTCGATCGGGAATATACACCTATCGTTCTTACGGAACTCACTCGTTCCTAACAACATACAGCCTATATCATGCGCCGCTGTGCGGCTGCTGGTTGGGCTCGAGAGAGAGCCCGCAAGACACAACGGAACGAGTGAGTTCCGTAAGAACGATCGGTGAGCGCCTCCTACCATTATGTATTCCCGACCGAAAACCGACAAGGCAACGGGCTCGTGGCCCGGTGAGTAGAGGCGTTGACTTCTAAACCAACAGGTCGCGAGTTCGAGCCTCGGGTGTTCCACACTCCGAGGTTGGGCATGACTGGCTGACGACACCAAGTAAACCAGAAATGGACATTCCAGTCTGCCTTGTCTTTGCCGGTAATAACATGCGGCCTATATTTTGCGCCGCAGTGCGGCTGCTGGTTGGGCTCGAGAAAGAGAGAGAGCCTGTAAGGCACAACGGAACGAGTCAGTTCCGTAAGAACGATCGGGGAGCGCCCACTACCCAATATATATATACGCACGTATACACTTGTACGCAGAATAGCATTGCTTACCAAGACAAGGGACACTGGAATTACCATTTCTGACATATTAGCCATCGGCATTCTGTATCTATTACGAGTCGCTACGCGGCTATTGGCGAGGCTCAAGAAAGAGAGCCCCAAGACGCAACATGACGTGGTATTTCCGCAACGCGATCAGTGAGTGCCTATCTAACATTATATATATATACGCAAATATTCAAGGTCCAAGTACCTTGTCACGTTCAGCATTTTCCATCAAATACGAAGAAAAAAGGTTGGACTCATTGACCAAAGTTTATTTCCACAGGCGTTCCGGAAACTTCTTCGTTCCCATCATCAAAGCAGCGCGGTTGCTGTTCTTACCACATTAGTAATATGTAGTACATAACGAAAAGGTGAATAGTGTCAGTGTTCACAAACATCTTTAGAACCTCCATAATAGACCATTATTGCATTAACCTAATCCTCCTAAAGTAATGAACGCCTTTTCAAGAAAGAGGAGAAGCCCGAAACTACATAATGCATTCCCGTGAAAATAAATGTACACCACGACCAAAGAGCTGTATGTGGTCATTCAAGGTTTTAATATTCCCAAATACCGGACGAAGAACCAACCGAAATTGAGGAGACTTTTTTAAAACGTCACGCATATATGGGAGTAAACAACGGGTTATTTCGGGACCGATCCGACTGCAAGCAGTCAGAGGGAAGGTGCAATTCGACTGAAGAGGTCGCACGAGTAGAAGTTCCATGTGGTCACAGGTCAAAGAAGTGACAGAAGAAAAGAAATCGACCGATGAAATCATTAGTTTTACAGCCTTATTATTTAAGTGGGATATTTTTGGACAATATATATGGTCTTCCAGGCGACGATAGTGCCCTACGAATATGAGGAAGTCATCTTTTGGGACTATCGACTACCAGAAAAATCGTCCTTCTAGTTTACCATTTCTTAAATTTATTAGATTCGGATGGATTTGACACCTTGTATCCACATTCTGTCAGATTCTTGGATAGGATTACTCACTGGCAAGCATCAAAGTGATCAATGAAGTAAACCACGTCCGCGGTTACCTAGCCAACCTCCGGATTACGTTCACCATGGTTAGTCGACTTCAAAGTATTTGATGCACCATATATTTTCTTGAATCGTCATGAGCTCTGGAACTACGAGATTTGGATAGAATTTGACACCCTTTGCCCACAGCTTGCTAGCTTCGTTTCTAGGATGACCTACTAGTAGTTCCTATGAGTGTTGAAGACCCATCATGCAATTCGAAGAGATGATCATTCGAGTACACGATCTCCGTGGTAATCTCGCCGAAAGCCATGTCTCACCGGTTTCCAAGTTGTTGTAACATTACGCATTTTCTGGCACCATGTCTAGATCAGGAATTCTCCTTCACTCAGAATAGACTGAATCATTTTGCACTATTGCTTTCAAACAGCTCTTGATAAGTCATTCTGGGGAAGATCGTGGTTAATTCCTTCACAGGCATGGTTTTTATAGAACAGTTCAGTGGATCGTGTCTCATCTTCTGATATGGCGACTATTTTAAAAACTCGTGGATTGCGGGGTGGCGTATGAACTGTCCTTTTCGTGCTAGGGCTCTTAATACACATAGAAAGGAGGGAAAATGCTCTTCCAATTTTAGAGTTGTGAAAATCGCCATAGCTGTATTCAGAAGAAAAAGTGGCGAACAAACGTTGCTTTCACGAACTTCTCGCTCAAATCGTACGAGTAGGCGCCTTTACAAAAGAATACGAGAGCACATTCCCGCATGGATGGCAAAAGGTGAAACTAGGAGAATAGACAGCGCTATCCTTGCGCATGCAGTGGATTCAGGGCATCGTGTGGACCCCGCATTTCGTGCGATTTATAAGGTCCCCTAGAGCTACTCTAAGCTATTGAGCCAGCGCCTTTTAGCAACAGCAGAAGCGGCACCATCAGGTTGCGGAAACCGACCCTATGCGCCCAGATGAACCTCGTTCAGGCTCTGTGCTTACCGTGGTCAAAGGTTGACTAACCACATACAACTTTCTGCGCCCTTCCGTTCTTGCCTAGCCTGTCTTTTAAAGACTAAATTTTATCGACTTTTTTCATTCACTGCATCCCGTCCCATATAACTGTACTGGCCTGACGAGAAGTTTTTGAAAGCAATGTTCGCCCGCCACCATTTCTTCCAATTTTTCTCATTAAAGATAAACATTGCTGATCAACAGTGACCTACCCATTTGTTGTTGACTTGAATCCTGGTCAAGTGTTTGTAGACCAGGCAGTGTGGTAGTACGCCTAGGCCATGCCAGACACCTGAACCGTCTTCCGTCTTCGATCTTTATGACTGTGTCTCGATACCGGGCTAAGATAGGGGTGAGGAAGAGAGCGCGACGGATACTGTGCGATTCTACCACCACAATAAACAAATTTACGCACGAGTCACCGTGTCTACTCTCAATTTGCTGTGGAGCACCAGGGGGACATTGTCGGCAACGACGGTCGAACTGTCGCCTATGTAAGAGCTCTACCAACGTGTGGTTCACTGCATGACCTCCACCAGACAAAGTTAGAGCAGACCTGAGATAACCTCATGATCAGTCAGACTGTATATCCGTGTGTGTATTTTTAACACTCTATGCATGTTGGATCGTTTTGTCGCCTAAACGATAAGGAGGGTTGTGTGATTTCCAAAAAGCTGACAAAGCAGTGGAAAGCTACTAGCACTTCTCGGTGAAATGTGAATGTGAAAAAAGACTCTCTGAGTCTTCGCAGCTTTAAATCCATGCGTCATAATGGGTCAAGTTGGCAGTTTTATTGCCTCAATTTATGCTTTTTTGACTAACAACTGTCTGAGCCACGAAAACTGAGCGTTGCAAATAGAAGCCAAGAAACGAGTCCCAGGAAGCAGTCCTGAAATAGGAGACACAATCGCTGGAACAAGAGCTTTATTAGCTTAACGTTTCGGGTTCCTGCTCGAACCCATCATCAAAGACGAAGCAGATACGGGTAGTTCATTCATAATGGGCTGCAGTATTTACAGGAGGCAGTCGCCATGCTACCACATACCTATGAACATTCACGGTTCCCCCCCCCCCCTTCATCCGGGATCGTTGCACTTGGTGGTTTATTTGTTTGATGGCCGACACTCGTGTCGCTAATTGCTGCAATTTCATCATGTGCGTTGGATGTTTGTGTGATGATTGCTCGACCATCTGACGCGCTGACCCTGGTGTTGGGAAAAGTGTTAACCTGTGCGCTCCCCGCGTGGCCAATTACTCCGCCTAGGCGAAGTCTCAACACTTAGTATGGAATGGGAAGATCATTGCATTTGTTAATAGACTGGGGGTCAGTAAACCACGAGTCAAGCATCTCCCGGCTCACGCGGTTGTCACCTCCTGTGAGAATTTCGGCCTCGTCGTATCTGAATGTGTGGCCGGATCTCGTCGAAAGAGCCGCAACTTGGGAGCTGGCGTTATTTCTCCGAACCGCTGCAACCTGTTCGACCAATCGCGTTTGGACTTGTCTTCCGGTTTCTCCAACGTAGTTGCTTTGCCCGCAACTTCACCAGACCCGATAAACGACTCCAGACGTTTCTTGCCGTGGCAGTGGGTCTTTCGATTTCATTAACTGATGCCTGATGGTTGCCTCCGGTCTGTGTGTCACTTCATCTCCAAGTGGTGCGAGAAGGCGGCCAACATCTTCTGAAACGTTCATGACATATGGAAGCGCTCGCCAAGCTTTGGTGTCCGTGCAGTTAGACCTTTCGTCCATTTTGCGTATGCATTGGCTGACAAAGTTGCGCGGGTAGCCATTGACTTTGAAGACCAGTCGGAGGTATTGTAGTTCGGCAATCTTGTCTTCCGGCTCACTGCAGTACGTTTCGACACCGCGTTTGTGGCTGATTGGGTGGTTGCTGTTGAAGTTCAGTACTTGCATCGTATTTGTCGCTTTGTTGAACACTTTGGTGTTTAGTCCACCACAATCTTTGCGGCATACGAGGACATCCAGGAAGGCCAGCTGGTTATCCTCTTCCTCCTCCATTGTAAATTTTATGTCCGGTAAGACCGCATTCAGACGTTCCTTGAATGTCAGCAGTTGATCCAGGTCGATAACGACAAAGATATCTCGCCAACCCCCGACACAGGCGATGGGATTTCGGAAATTATAGACCTCCATGCCGGCCATTAAGCAATTCGCGAACCAGAGTACAACCATCGTCGATGAAGGTGAGAGCAGGTATTTAACATAGACGTGCAGCAGCATAGCAACTACATCCTATATATATATATATATATATATTGCGTCTTCTTATGTGTGAAGTACCGTTTCGGGTAATGTCCTTGATGGGGGGACAGGCGAATAAGGCTCTTGCTGTAGAGATGGCCTTTACTTTTCATTAAATCCCGCGTAAAATTATACACACAGTTAGATATGTCATACTACTTGGATCGATATAATGACAATTCATACGGTTTTCCGAAACAGACGCCACAAACAGGCGGGTACCACAAACCAGACCGAACTCGGTCAAGCTGGGAGAGTAGCAAGGACAGAGAATTGGAGCTAGATGCATAATTGTTGCGGAATTGTTCTGCCCTCCTTCAGTCTTTTATAACCCTCTCCACTAGCTGTGAACCAGGAACACAAACACACCAACACGCACGAGGTAAACGGTTCGTAGACCGTATCTGTCGAATGAACCATAATTACTTCATCCGACGGAGGTTCGTTAGTGACCCGCCACCGAATATTCCCTGTCAACGCAGTTCGGGTATTCGATCAAGCATGAATGAGCTCGAAGCACGCGAACCCCTCATGGGACGGTTGACTGTCAGAAAAACGGTCATTCTATTTTATTATTGCTGAAATTTATTAGATTCAGGAGGATTTGACACCCTTTTCTCACAGCTTGTCAATTTCTTTGATAGAATGACTCGCTGGCAAGCGTCAAGGTGATCAACGAAGTAAACCACGTCCTCGCGCACACTCGATATGCTTCTACAGAGCATGCCTGATGTCGAGACACTGATAAACTTCAGTTTTTATTGAATGTTTTTGGCCTGTCTGACAGATTCTATATGTTAGTCATCTGCGCTATCTGAGTGCATGTTTCTGTGTTTCTAATTCCAAATCGGATGAGAACCGGTACTTTCTACATCGACTGGTCTCCGGGCCTCAAGGTATGTGAGCATCTCCTATGTCATGACGAGCAAATCATGACCCTGGCAGTTTTCTGACCCCTGGTCACCTGCCGATAGATGTGATTGCGCTTTCTCTGGGCATTTAGGTCATGCGCATGGTTGCCATGTCATCCTCCTCTTTCTGAACAGTTATCTTGCTATTGATTTTGTTGGTTAAAATCCTGGTCAAGTGTTTACTTTGGACCCGAGAGTGTGGCGGTAAGTCTATGTGCTGGTCCACGCCGTGCGACCCACCTGCGCCCCAGCTCGCATCCGGTCTTCTTGACCATGTCTTAACACCGGGCTAAGGTAGGTGAGGAGAGGAGAGTGCGACAGATGCTGTGCAAGTCGACTGCTGTGGAGCACACGGTGGGCATTGTCGGGTACAACGGTCGAAATGATACTACTTCCAGATAATGGGCCGAGTGGATGAATCCAGAAAGTAAGTCTGAAACAGCTGCGCACCACTCCGCGCCCATCACAGTCGTTAGCATCTTTTTACAAATCTTCACTTTTTCCTGCCTTAAAAATATTAATTCTGATACACTTTTATACATAATTTATTTCTTTTGAATCTAACACGTCTGGCCGCTCTTGTCGAAGCTGTACTAAGACGTTTGCCTGGTTTATATCGAAACATGGGAAAAATTATGGCTTAGAGCTTGCCGCGTACCTTCTATGAACCTTTAGGAGGGGAGGAGAGGTTGGCGGACAAGAGGGGCACTGAAAATTAGTATTTTGAACTGATCAACCGACAGTGTGGGACAGGCCGCTTTCCAAGAGCCGGGTTTGCTAATAAAGTGTAGGCGGGGCTGCGGGGCAGAGGGCGAAAATATTAGTTTTGTTTTAATTAGCATTCTACCCTCTCACATCAGATACTGAAGGTCACACAGAGGGGCGCAGATCAAAGGAATAGGCTAAAAGAACCATGCCGACCAATCTGCGTACTTGGTGGCTAGTAGCACGACTTTGGTAGCAGGAATTCATGGATGATTGTCATGTATAGCTGCGGAACCCTCGTATCACGAGGTACGCTCAAATCGCGATCAAAATATGACCTACGAAAAAAGGCTAATTGATAGGCCTTCCACTGCTAGAATTATTCAGCACACCTACACAGAATCAAAGATGCCACTCAGAATCTTCTGAATTGAGCAAAACTACAGCAGGTGGGTTAACTCATGAAATGTCAACCGAAATTCCCAAATGGGTTTTCGCTTCGAAATGATTAATCAAGTTAGTTCATAGACATTTTGGCAGATTTTGAATAATTCATATTGACCCAACTGTGAAAAACTCGGCGCCTAGGTGGGATTCGAACCCACGCAGTAAGGGGAAGATAATAGTACAGCCAACGCTCTAACCACCTAAGCTACGAGGTCGCGCCGGACGACTAGAGTTTTATCACAGTTGGGCCAATATGGATTATTCAAAATCTGCCAAAATATCTATGAATTACGTGAGCCTAGTAGTCATCTGTTGGATTCTAGGTGAGTTACTTAAAAAATCATGCTTGGGCAGTCAACTCTATCAAATCTGGTGCATCCCAGACGTTACAGTGGGTTGGGCGGGTAACTTGACTCAAATGTGCTTAAACTCTCTTCGTCCGGCGGGGCTTCGCAGCTCAGGTGGTTAGAGCGTTGGCTGTACTAAAGCATCCATTTTTATCTCTTGTTTCGGATACCCTTAAATACTCAATTATACTTTATAGACAACATGCATAAAAATATTTATTCTTTTGCTCCTTCGGTAGAAAATTGCGTCTGCTTCTATTTTTTTACTCGAAGGAAGGGTAAAAGTCGGCTTAAAAATGTTTCTAATTGTGAGATTTTTAATACCATGAAATGGCCGTTCATAATACATCATGCCTCTGCATTTACTAGTGGGGCTTGTAATGTTAAAAATATGGCTTAAATCCACTGCTAAATTTTTCGAACCACGTATAGTCTCCTCTTAATACTGTAGAGAGATGCAAGGTTTTCCATTCACGAAAAATATACGGCATGTAGTGTGGAAACCCTGAATGCAAGTGTAACGGCAGGTCGGGTTCAAAATTATTCGGGATTTTGAAAGGTTTTTAAAAACCGAATTTTCCCTTTCTTTGAATATGAAATTGAGAGAAGGCGTAATCTTATACCGAATGAATAAAAGAGTCAATATTTTTATGCATGCTTTCTATAAAATATAATTGGACTTTTAGGGGCATCGAAAACCAATGAAAAATTTATTTTCATAATTTAGTCATTTTTTTACAGAGCGTAATTTTTGCATGAATCCAAAAAGAAGCTCATCCAAAGCCGACATCCTGAGGCAACTATAGTATTATAGAATTATGCTGCATAATGATTCGTTCTACAACCCTACTTAATTAAACTTTTCCAAACTTAGTGGGGCAGTGTACCAACCTGGAGCGTTGGTGACGACTGACACACATGCATGGTTTACTATTTTTAGTGTGCCAACTGGGTTATGCTTCAGAAGTGCGGTTCCATGAAAACGAGAATAGCTAATCAAACTGGGAAGTCGTAAATGCAATTCGAAGGACAACGACTAATTTCTCGCAATGCGGTCGCTGGAAATCAGCACTTAAATTCCGTGCTATGGCGAAAGAGCAGGTATACATGAAAAAGGCTCCGATAACTCATGCATGAAGGCAACACTCTATTTAGGCCTGAAGAAAGGGCCGTAGTAAATTTGCATCTAGCTGGAGAAAGTTCACTCGAGACAGGATAATCAAGGACGAAGTAGATGTTTTTCTGTGGCTTTGCTTCTCTCTGATTAAGCTCGCATTCATGTTCATAGTCTATAGCTCACATTCCTATTTGGATTAGAAAATGAAAATTAATAAGGAGAAATCACTGCATTTTTAGCACGCATCAAGCTTGTGGTCCATCGGTTTTATGCATTTAATACTATCCCTTCATTTAAAAATGCTCTCTTTCCTTGATTCCAGACTTTAATTGCATTTACCTCACACTCACTTCCCAGACTCAGCCTCTTCTGATGACAATATGTTCGAGAGTTGGAGGGGATGCAATAGCCGACGAGACTGGAATCATTTCTAGAACGCCTGCACCACTAGCCAACTCCACACGAACCTGTCCTCGATGGCGGCTCCCAGACCCCAAATCAATTGGGATCTGATGCAAAGAAAATAAATCACTGTAGTCTTGTCTTCGTTTGAAAACCAAGTCGAACTATCTCGTCAGTTGGCAACTCGAGGGGATATGAGAGTGGAGACTTCACTCGCCGTAATACAGATGGCCTTATGCAAAATTCCGGGGAGGGTAACTTTCCCGTATCCAAACTAGCTCCAGCCCTAAAACTAACTCCCATTTCCCCGCAAATTAGACCACGAATGTCGAAATAGAAGGCTTCATATGTCATTGTCCTGCCAGCATTTCTTTGTGCCACAATAATTTTCTTCCTATGACAGGTTAAAGGGTCAGTCTCTTTTTATTTAGGACAATATACACCGCGTGGGGTCCGGGCAATTCGCCTTCCAACGCGCATGCTGTAAGCTGACTGGGAATGGAATAGGATTCAGTGACTGAGGCTACGTAAAACCACCGTCCAAGCCGTGTCACATGCGGCATTGGCTTCCACGCCCCACGAGCCATGTTAAAAGGTGAGCGTCTTAGTAAAACCCTCGTTTAAAAAGGGAAGTCGATCACTTCGTTGGGTGGCAACTGGCAAGGACACGACATTTATCTTTTGGACTACCAGACTCGTTCTCTCCCTCCCATCCCCAAGAAATCCCAAACCCGCCTGAGCGTTTCAGGCAAGCAAGAAAGAGTTTGAAAGCGCCCTCGTTCGTAGAATGATTGACATATCTTTTGGCTTATGCCAAAAAGGAAATGTTTTCATTCGTTTGACCTGCTTAATCAGGTAGGTGAAGTATTTCAGACCGTAACGTTAACGAACCCACCAATTCCACACGTTCTCACCTGAAACGAATATTTGAGGAAGCCGCACAGCATTCTAGTTAGTTTACGGGCGTAATAAAGTCTGTTTTGGTGTATGATCAGGTCGTTGTGTCTATCCATATTATTGGTTTAATAATGTTTGAAATTGTAGCTGCAGCCATTTTCCGAAATAAGACCGTTTTGCAATTGATTAGATGCGTTCCGATCGGTGACATAAGTACATCGGGCCCGTGTTAAAAACAGTTCAACACCTGACGCATTTATTAGTCCCACATCCCAAAGGGAAATTAGTAGCGCAGAAAATACGCTATAAAACATTAGCCAGTATTTAGTCAATAAATCAGTCATTCAGTCGATGTATTTGAAGTGGATGACTAAAACTAATCGCAGAGCAATGGGTGACAATCGAAGGCTGTCTACCGCACAGCATTCTGGAAGCAAATGTTTAACCAATCCCGAGTGGCACAGTTAACATCCGATTACTGAGTTTACCTAGCTTCAGCTCGAATCCGTCAGCAAATGCGGATTAACACGTGGATGAAAGGGTTAAAATTAGGTGTTTATCGGTATGAACGAAACCGTTGATTATCAAAGTTCCGTTATTGTGTCAGAAGGGGGAAAGTTATGGGAAGTGCACACCTGAAAAACCACCACAGGAGCTCACTTTGCCTTATTGTCATGTAAGCTGCCTTTAGGATAGCACTTGTCCATTCGTTAATTGGTATCCTTGATGATGTGCCGTTATTTTGCTGGTTTGTACGCCAGCTCACCCATACTCGAAAGGTTTCTCTAATAAAAACGTTAACTAACCGATCAATTCCGCACGTTCTCACCTCGAACGAATGTTTGAGGAGGCCACACATCATTCTAGTTAGTTTACACGCATAAGAAAGTCTGTTTTGGTCTGTGATTAGGTTGTTGTGTCTATTCACGTCATTGGTTTAATAATGTTTGAAATTGTAGCTGCGATCATTTTCCAAAAGTTAGCATTTAACGCAATAAGACCGTTTTGCAATTGATTAGATGCGTTCCGATCGGTGACATAAGTACATCGGGCCCGTTTTAAAAACAGTTCAACATCTGACACATTTCTTGGTCGAACATCCCAAAGAAAAATCAGTAGCGCAGAAAATACGCTTTAAAACACGAGCCAGTATCTAGCCAATAAATTAATCAGTGAAGTGAAGGACTGAAGCTAATCGCAGAGCAAGGAATGGCAATCGAAGGGTATTTGCCGCGCAGCATTGCGGAAGCAAATGTTTAGTCAGTCCCGACTGACACAGTTAACATCCCATTACTGAGTTTACCTAGCTTCAACTCGAATCCGTCAGCAAATGCGGATGAACAAGTGGATGAAACCGTCAAAATTAGGTGTTTATCGGTATGAACGAAACCGATGATTAGCAGAGTTCTGTTATCGTGTCAGAAGGGGAAAAGTTATGGAAAGTGCACTTTTGAAAAACCAACGCACTTCGCCTTATTGTCATGCAAGCTGCCTTTAGGTTAGCACTTGATCACTTCATTAATTGGTATCCTTGACGATGTATCGTTATTTTGCTGCAATTGAGTTGGTTTTTACGTCGGCTCACCCTTAATCGAAAGGTTTCGCTAATGAAAGCTATGCTAACTGTTAACTTCATGAAAATTCCTATGTACGCCTGAATAATACGCTTCCATTTTTTTACTTAAAATTACACTCTTAATAAAACTGATTTTCCACAAAAGATTTGCACTTGGGACGTGTTCATTTGTCTCCTAAAATTTTCTCGGCGTTCCAGTGGTGTCTGACAGTTATATTTTAATAGCTTCAACTGCATTTCAGGAGACACGTTTACCTTGATCTTAAATATACACAACTAGGTGTCATTTACTTGGCTGACTATCGCGGCATAGTTGGTGAAATGTAAACTGATTAATGGATACAACTACCAAAATAATTTATTCATTTTGACCCAACTGTGAAAAATTGTGCGTCTCGGTGAGATTCGAAACCACGACAGCAAGGAGATGCTTTAGTACTGCCAACGCCCTAGCCACCAGTCGCAGGTGTTTTTTTGAAAATTTTGTCCTCAGACTGATATAATAAAATCACCAAGGTATGGTGGTTGGGCTCTGATCTTTCCAGTTCAGACGTGAAATAACTCCCCTTCTCTGCTCCGTTACTAATCAACCACAATGTGACTGGACTCCCGTTGCTCACACAGGCGTATAATTTCTGCCTAGATGAGAGCCATTATTGCAATGGTGGTATAGCCTTCAGGCTGCTGCTATAAGCAGAAAACGGAGAGACATCGTTCTGTAGGCACGCATATATATATATATATACATTGTATATTCCCGATCGAAAACCGACAGGGCAACGGGCTCGTGGCCCGGTGAGTAGAGGCGTTGACTTCTAAACCAACAGGTCGCGAGTTCGAGGCTCGGATGTTCCACACTTCGGGCTTGGGTATGGCTGGCTGACGACGGCTAATAAGCCAGAAATGGCCATTCCAGTCTCCCTTGTCTTTGTCGGTAATAACATTCTGCCTATATATATATGTATATTATTCAAAACTAAAAATACTTTCAATCTTTAATCACTTAGGATACACGAAGTCCAAAGTAATGAGGCAACCAAAGGTGTAATTTCTGTCCGCTGAACTGAGTATGTATATACGTTTATTTTGCACCGATCGACTTCATGACTAAGGGACTGCTGTTTGGGGTGGTAGTGGTGGTGGCGCCGCTCAAAAAAGCGTCATATTTGAGACTGGAGTTAGACGAACTGGCAACCTAGGGGCATGGCCTAACCCCTAAGCGCGGTTTTGGCTGTCAGGCGCATAACATCAAGGCTTAACTGAGAGGACGTTTGTTCTTATGCAAAAATAGTGAACGTAAAAACGAAAAAAGTAACGAAGTATGACCACACACACACACACATGAGAAAATACTCTTAACTGTCCGTAGCTTCCGCGTGGGTAGAAACAGTTGAAGCGTAGAAGGAAAACAGGGCTGTCCTGACTACAAAAATAAAGTTTGACGAAACGCTTGAGTAACAGAAGGACAGTTTTGACTCCACTCAGGCCGGATAATGGGCCAGTGGCAGGGTTCAGTGTGTATGTCGAAGGAGAGAATTCGTCAAATGGCGCACACACACACGCACAAAGCTGATGAGTGCTGCCACGCATGAAATGCACAACTGCAATTCTGAGCGGAAACGGAAAAACGCACCCAATAACCAGCGCATCGTTTTATTCCCCGAGGAGAGGAGAAAAAAGAAGAACGATACCCTTAGCATCCTTTACGCCGTCAATTAATACCGTCCGTAGACGCCAGTTATGGTGGAAAATCGCCGGTTGTCTTCGTAGTTACCGCTATAGGCGCCGGCCGCATAGCGTGAGGGGATGCGGGGATTTTCGTAGGCATACGTTGATGGTGATCGGTGGTAGCGTGAAGAGTATCCGTTTCGCAAGCCAACTGCTGGCACTGTCAGCTGACTTGTGGCGTCAGACAGAATTCGCATTGAGCGGCTGCCTCGTACCGTCTCCTCATATGAAATGAGTTGCCTCCAGAAACCGGCATTTGGTTGAATGAAGGGACGAACTGCTCTAACCAGATCGTAAGCATCTGCCAGGCTCATATTCTGATGCCGTATGAGGTAGGCAAGGACGAGCGATGCGGAACGGGAGATGCCGGCCATGCAGTGAACCAAAGTTCTGCCACCACGTTTCTTTTCCATAGCTATCCTCTCACCAACCGAATCGAAATAAATCCTCAGATTTGAGGTCTCCGCATCTTCCACACTAATCTGGATGTGCGAAGTCACTGCAGAAAGAAGACTGGCCGGCGGTGGATCTATCATCGCCGTGATAAGTTGCGTTATCCCATACTGTCTCAGTCTTTCAGGACTTAGAGCCTGCAGTCCACTGAGGTAGAGGTGGTCGTTGATCCGAGCTATCTGGCTAAACATATCTGGCCAGGAGATAGCTCTAGTCGGTATGCGACCACTCCGCAGTCGCTCAGCGCTATGCAGACTGCAGGAAATGGGACTGAGGGCGGGCAGGGGTCTAAGTGTGAGGCCTGACTTGTATGGGGAAGTGGAGGTATCACGGGTCACTCCGCTGTTCGGGTAACGACTGTAAGTAAAGATATTAAGGGGAGATCGGGGTGCGTATGCAGACCCGTCCGTCACCCAATTGCGATCGTGGAGGCAAGCGGTGTAGTAGGTTGGACCAGTCATTTGACTTTTGCTGCCTGTAAAAAAAGCTAAGCGGTTCGTGCCTTAACTTGAATCAGCAAGGTCTGAAGAGGTGGAAACTGAATGTAGCGCTTTGCTGCCCCCTACCAGGCTCTCCTAGTCGGTCAGCAGTGTCATTCCTATGCACGCGCGCGCGCCTAGTGTGTGCGCACGTGGCAGCCCCCACCTTGAAGCGCATTCGTTCGATTGGTCTGCCTGCATTTTAATTGGCTGGCTCTTGAAGGATTTTTATGCGACTTGACCAATCGAATTAGTGTATTTCAGAGTGCTTTTGCTGGTGCACTTTTCACGACGAAGACAACAAAGGCCTGCCAAGGAGCCAGGCTACACTGACTTGTTTATGCGGCGATGTAGGAACATAGAGACCCATTGTTAATGGATTAGTTGATGTTGGAGATAAAAAAACAGGCTTAGACAGTATTGGTACCCATATCTTGGGGTGGAAAACTGCAATGTTTAGGTAGCTTAAAAGCAATGGAAATATAACCTCATCCGTTGAGGCTAAATACAGCGATTTCAAGACCAAACCGCATTCCTAAGCGTTGCCTAAAACAGTCGTTGCTCAGGTTTCTGCATGTTGACAACACTTTAAAAACGTGTCCACTTTTAATAAAATTTCGTCACCCCACAAGTAGAAGAATGACAGCAAGGATAGAAGGTACTACCTTGAAAAGACACCTAATTCAAGTGCAAGCATAGCGTCTAAAATAAGTCGAGATAATTCTGTAAAGCACATCAGAAATGTAGATTCTAAGTAGGAAAATCAGATCGAATGGCTTAAACTGTCCGGAAAGTAAACAAGAGATGGTTGTCAACATGCAAGGACTAAAACGCGTTCGTCTACACATTTTTTTTAGAAGTACGCATGTAGGAGTACTTGCAGCTCGTTCATCGTGGGAATGATGATTACAATATGGCATTCGTTCATTGTTGGGCGCACATGTATGATTATAGGACCGGAAGATAAAGCTTTTTATAGTTTTGCTACCAGATTGCAGTAGGCTATTCGTCTTTTCAAAAGGGATTGATGAATTCTTGGAAAGGAGTCACCAAAACAGTTATTTATAGACCAATTTCTGGTCGTCGATATTAGCAGATAATATGGAGAAAGTCGGAACATAAAGCTAACCCACGATGATCAAAGGCATGCTCAAAGGCTTTAAACAGTCAGACAAATTTGCTAGATCGTAGTTGGTAGCCAGGAATTTGGAAGCGGACGGCGACCCTAACCCTAATCCTAAACTTGATCCTAACCCCAACCTCAACCTTAGACGTTAACCGTTAGCCCTAACGGCAACCCTAAACCTAACCGAAATCGTAAACGTAACCGTAGCCCTTAGACATAGCCGTAACTGAAAAACCTAACCGTAATACTAAAACCTAGTCGTACGCTCAAACCCTAACCGTAACCCAAAAAACTAAGCCTAAAAGCATAACCCTAACCCGAAAATGGGAAACCATTAACCGGTACTCTAATCCTAACCTTAAACGTAAAAAGGAAGCCAAATGGGTCAGATGTAATTATAAAGCCCCACTAAATAGCCTCAGTAAGCAACCCCCCTCACCTGTAATAGGGGGCCTGGCTACCAACTGTGATCTAGCCGACAAATTTTTTTACGCACCTATTGCGACAACAATTAAAGTGAAATATCCTTGAAATTAAAAACCTTGCTGGCTATAAGACGCAAAACCACCTCCGAAATCAGCTCAAGGGGACGTTACGACGTTTGTGCGGTCCACTTATCATTCAGCTTTCCAGGAAACCCTGAAACATTGTCAATTGGATCATGCTACCGAAACTGATTTTACCCTACAGGAATGGAAGCCGCTGATCATCATGCTTTACGAGACGGGAGGTTCATGTGCAATTTCGACCGACTACAGGTCACACGCTTGTGACGTCCACCCAGAAGGATAATGTAGCATCCTTCTACGAAACTACAAGAAAGCATTAAGTCCAAGAGTTCGCATCTAAGCACACAACTTGCCGTTCTCGCGGCGCCTTGAGGGAACTTTAGCGGACGACTAGATGTTGAGATTTTCAAAATGATTACTTTTGGCCCCGAGAGAACAAATCAATTTCAGCAGAAACAAGGTGAACAAAAGTACTGCTGCACTTCAAGAAGGCCACTGCACACGTGATTATCCCTTCAACGACGCGGCGCACGTAAACATTCACAGAGACAGTCGACTGACCTTGAACTTAGAGTAAGTGACCTTAAAGCGTAGGAACACTGTGCCAATCGTCATGCTTCCGCTCAACTTCACGTGTTTTCTCAGTCGCGTTTTGAGTTAAAAGTCCTATAACGACTAGTACTCACAAAAAACTTAGTGCTACGGAATAGCCTGTAGGCGGAAATTTCGTAAAAATGCTTTTCGTACGTACGAACGCCGGAGAAAGAGAGTACAGTAGGTGGGTCAACTCATGAAATGTCAACCGAAATTTCAAAATGCGTTTTCGTTTCGATAAAATTAATAAAGTAGAGTTGCAAAACTAATAATTATGCAGCGTAATTCTATAATAATTCAGTTACAACAAGACGTCGGCTTTCGAACGAACTTCTTTGCGGCTACATGCAGAAACCATACTCTGTGAAAAATGCCTACTTAAGCAGCATGAATTTTTCTCAATGATTTTCGATGCCCCTAAAAGTCCAATTATATTTGATGGAAACCATGCATAGAAATATTCATTTTTTTGCTCCTTCGCTAGAGAATTACGCCTTCTTCCAATCTCATACTCGAAAGAAGGGTATAATTCGGTTTGCAAGAACTCTTCCAGTCCCCAAAATAATTCTGAACCCGACCTCCCGTTACAATTGCTTTCAGTGTCCCCAAACTACAAACTATATGTTTAAAGCGTACGCAAAGCCATACAATTCTCCACAGTATTAAGAGGAGACCATGTGGGGCTCTACCATGTGGTTCTACCTGCCGACAAAGGAGGTGCCACTACTGCTTTGAACAAAACAGACTACACAGACAAAATGATGTCACTCTTAAAGGATGATTCAATATGCGAACCTCTAGCTGCCAAAACTACGAAATCGCAAAACTCACATATTGAAAAAAACACTGAAACGCCTTTCGGGTAGGAAATTAATCACAGGAGTTCTTGTCAAGTCTTTAAAACCGGATGAACCAACAATTGCCAAGATATATGGTCTTCCCAAAATTCATAAAACTGATATTCCGCTGCGACCGATAGTCTCCCTAATCGGTGCACCCAATTATAAGATCTCGAAGTGGCTATTTCGCCAACTACATCCACTTACGAAAAACTCCGAGAACTCCATTCAGGAGTCAAAAGAGTTTCTAGACAAATTAAACGGTGTCAACATCACATGTGACGAGATTATGGTGTCATTCGATGTGGTCTCGCTCTTCACTTCGATTCCGCTAGATTTAGCGAAAAGCTGCACCGAAGAACTCCTTCAAACATATACTTCTGAGGTGCCTCCCGAGGCTTTATTTCAACTCCTTGATCTCTGTCTGGAGACAGATTTTTCCTTCTCAAATCAATGCTACCGGCAATTACAAGGTGCTCCCATGGGTTCACCAATATCCGGTTTCCTGGCAGAAGCATTACTGCAGAAATTAGACAGCATAACCCTTCCCACAGTCAACCCAAAACTTTGGCTGCGATACGTAGATGACATTTTTGTCATCGTCAGGAAAGATTAGTTGAATCTGCTCCATATCAGAATTAACTCTATATTTCCAGGAATTACGTTTACTTTCGAAACAGAGGTTGATGGACAACTCCCATTCCTGGATGTCCTTGTACGTCGGAAAACCGATGGGTCACTTCATACATCAGTTTATCGCAAGGAGGCGTATTCAGAGGTCATCCTACACTTTGAGAGTAACCACCCTGTCTCTCACAAACGGAGCACAGTCTACAGCCTTCTGAATCGGGCCAAAACCCACTGCTCTGACGAAACAAGTTATCGAGCAGAAATGAAATATCTCTACAAACTGTTCTCCCAAAATGGGTACCCGCATGACTTTATACGTCAATGCATGAGGCACCAGCAACTCAGGGGAAAAGGTATTTCTAATGCTACGGCCGCTCAGTCACCAAAACCAACCACATGGCGAACTCTCCCATACGTCAAAAATGTATCTGAACTTGTCGAAAGAAAATTGAAAAAGTACCAGATACACGTAGCATACCAGTAGGCAACTACCTTACGCACACAGCTTGTACACCCTAAGGACAGGGTCGGCTACCTCGAAGGAAAAGGTGTTGTATAAAAAATCCCATGTTCTAGCTGTGATGCCGTTTATTGTGGCCAAACTGGGAAATCTGTCTCAATCCGTATACATGAGCATCAGTTAGCGGTGAAGAGACGCGACCATCTATCCCAGGTGGCCATGCACACACTGGACACTGGGCACAAATGGGCATGGGAAAGCACTTGCATTGTTGGCGCCTGCCAAACTAGGAAAGGCCGCAAATTCCTGGAGGCAATGCACTCAGATGAGGCATGCATCAACCGGCATATCGATGTAGATGCCATATATAAAATCGTTAAGTACAGATTCAAACTGAGTCAACCAATCCCGAGATGACGACCTTAACCAATCATGGAATCCTTTTGCCAGACTCAGTCTAAAAGTTAATCGTTTTTGCATACCCGTTGTCCGAAGACGAGCTGGGGAACCAGTCTCGAAAATTAACTATAAAATTTTTCTGTTTCCCAAAGAACTTCACCTTTCTAAATATATAACTTCACAAACCGCATCGGAAAATACAGAGACATGACACTTTATGGACGGTTATTTCACGGTATTAAAAAGTCTCACAATTGGAAACTTTTGAAAACTGAATTATACCCTTCCTTCAACTATAAAATTGGAAGAAGACGTAATTTCCTACCGATAGAACAAAAGAATGAATATTTTTATGCATGGTTTTCATGAAATATAATTGAATATTTAAGGGCATCGAAAATCAAGGAGAAAAATGCATGCTGCCT